TTTGTACAATTGGGGTTCCTTTTTTTTCTCGTGTATCTCTGAAACTATTCGTCTGATTGGAGTTTGTTTTGCACAAATTAATTTCTTTTAATGTGTTTTACTTGTATACGAAATTAGAAATAGCAGTGCTGAAAATAATATTTTTCGAAATTTGGCACGTACGGCGGGGTCGTTTTGTACTTTGAACAATTGAGGTTCCTTTTGTTTCTCGTGTATCTCGGAAACTATTTGTCTGATTGGAGTTTAATTTGCACCAATCAATTTATTTTAATGTGTTTTACTTGTATACGGAATTAGAGATTGCAGTGCTGAAATTAATACTCGGATTTACGTTTGATTCACCATTGAATTTCTCGTCGAGAGTTGTACTTTATACGTGATTTTTGATAGATACTACGAAGTTAAGTTTTTTTTCATTTTTTGCCCTAAGTTTTGGTTTTGGGCGGAAATCGGGTGGTGTTTTTTATTTGATGACTTGAGGCTTCTTGTATGCAGAATATCAGATGGCCGTGCGTAAATAATTTTTTTTTGAAATTCGGCACGTAATGGGGGGTTCTTTTGTTTTTGATAACTTGAAGCTTTTTGTGTATCTCTGAAACTATTCGTCTGATTGGAGTTTAGTTTATCCTATGATATTCTCTTAAAGTGTTCTTTTTGTATGCGGAATATCACATGGCAGTGTGTAAATTAATATTTTTTAAAATTTTGCACGTAATGGGTGGGAAATTTTTACCTGATCAGTCGAGTCTATTTTTTTTCCTTATGTATCTCGGAAACTATTCGTCTGATTGGAGTTTGCTTTGCATAAATGAAATTCTCTTAAATTGTTCTACTTGTATAAGAATTGCAGATGGAATCGTCGAAATTAATTTTTTTGTCGAAATTCTCCTCGTTTTGGGTATTCTCGATTTTGTACTCTATTATTTGAGGCACCGTTTTGTTTCTCGTCTATCTTTATTTGTTTGAATAGAGTCTGGTTTGCACCTATGAATTTCTATGAAAGTTGTTTACTTACACAGATTTATAGTTGGAAGCATCGGAATTACGGTCAATATAAATTTTGATACTATTTGATCACAGCCCAATGTAATTGTATATTTTCTAACGGTAACGCATGGTATTTATAGCTTTCTTGTGGCAATAGTTGTCATTGCATGATATCAATGAGTTTTGAATTGGCTGGTATAATTTTCAGCGAGGTAGCGCCTTACTTATTCGCATTTCTTGTATTTCTCTATAGATTTGTTAGGTTTACTATGATGGAGCGTTAAAAGTTTGTTTTTATTCATGATTTGTGTCGCGAGGGAATATTGAAAGCAATTCAGTGGTGTCAGCATCCCGACGTGTTTGCGAAAAGTTAAAAAAACATTAACATTGACTAATCTTTAAGTGAAAAATGTGTATGTGGAGATCTTGATATGATGAAAGAATTTCAGGCATAGTTAACGTTACCACCCAAACGATTAGTTAAGATTACTTTTTTATTTGTTTTGTAATTTCACTTAAGAAAATGTGTTAGTAGGAGTGTAGGTTAGGATTCTAATATTCTCTTAGAAAGAAATTCTCTTCGAAGCGAGGGAGGTTTATAAATTTTAAAAGTGCGTTGATTGTAAAATTGCCTAGGCCAGTAGAAGTGTAGGTAAGTATACTACTCCATTGAAAATAAATTCTCCTAAAAGTTAAGGGATTTTATAAATTGTAAAATTGCGTTGGTTATCAAATTAATTTTTAGCATGAATAATACCATGATACATAATACCAATAATAAAATGCAGCCCCAATGTAGCACTGTTAAATTATAAATAAATAAAAGTATTATTATTAAATTATAGTAATAATATGTGAGTTTTATGTAAAAGGAAGGTTTAAATGTAGTACCACGTAAAGGCTGATTGACTTGAATCACTCATTCTTCTGTTCAAAATTGTTAAGAACTGACACCTTTCGCGTGAAAGATCTTTTTCTTAAACATCCGATTTACCGGATATATGCATCTTTCAGGAATCCCCAATGAAGGAAATCGCACAGAGCTAGATCAGGAGCGCGTGCAAGCCACAAACCACGTGTGATAATTCTTTCTCCATTAACGGCATACAAACCTTTAAAGTAACTGAAGCAATAGTCAGTGGCGGATCCATGGAGGGGGCATGCTCCCCCCCCCCCCAAAAAAAGGCCTAGAGATTTCGTTTGTTATCTTTCATTATTTGGCAAAATTGATTTAAATATTCATGTTAGAATTATGTAATTTTAAAAAACTAATATTGTATAGTATACAATACAAAAATAATATACAATATAATAACAAATATGTTTATTATTTTATAAAAAATCTGATTCTCCCCCTCCCATTTGGAGGAAAGGCTCCAGATTACATTGTACATAACAGTTTGGCACATTTTATTATGTGTCATACACAAACACTTTGTTTGAAAGTGAACTTCGTCAACTTGGGATTACTAGTGAGCATTGGTTTCTTACGTTACGGGCAGGCATGAGTGAACTAGTCATTTATATTGACCAAGATTCCTGAACCAGTCTTCTGTTATTTAACTTCCCTATTTATTATGAGACGTTGCAGTGAATCAAGATCTCCCTCAAAATAAACGTTTAATTATGATTTCAGTAAGGAATGAATGTTCAAATACTTGTACTCTCACAAACCGGCTACGGACCGCACGTGATCTTTTCATCCTCTTCTTTGATCTCCCCTCACTCTTTACTTACACACACGCACACTCAACACCACATTTGTCGCAAGACCAGTCGGGAGCTAAGAGATCGTCCCATGCGGTGCGGTGCCCTGCCGGTGGGAGATACCTGGTCAGGGAAATCCGCGCAAGCCGACGTAGGTCAGCACCAGATCACTCCAGCCACCTCCGCCTCTTCCCACGATAAAAACATTCACCACAGTAATGGGACTTACCTTAGGAGTTGACGCGCTACGAATTCCCAATCAATCAATTAGAAGGCGCCATTAATTGACAAGTCATATTACTATTTTGCGACTTTGGTTGATCCGCAGTTTAGGGTGCCACCGGTTCATTTGGTTCACTGACACGGTTCACTAGTTCTCGTGATCCGCAAGGTTATAGTTGCGCGGTTCACTTCAATCACTAGAAAATAATTTTGCTGGCATTGATTCAAAGCATAAATGTATACACAGTTTGACAATGCCATATAAAGTATACATTTTGCTAGTTCGAATTTTTTTTTTTTTTTTTCATGACGACACATTTTAAATTTCAATTCACATCTAAAATTGCACTTCACAACACTATTGAAAGCACAATATAAGATTTTAGCTGGATGGTTTATTTGGATTACAAATATAGACTTCATTTACTAATTAAATAACCTCCTAATAACACATTTAGTTGTTACTATGATGACAAATTATTTACTTAATAAATTAATGAACTGTAAAATTGTTCAGACTTTATGGCGTGGATTCGCGTGTTTTTTTCCCCCTTTTTCATTTCAAGCTGTCTTTTAATAGTTTTGTGTGTTTACCGAAATGGAAGGTATGAACTCAGGATTTATTTATGATTTGCGCCGAGAGGGAAGTTTGAATGTGATTCAGTGGTGTCAGAAAGTGGGTTTGCTTGCGTCTCGACGTGTATGTAATGTATGCAAGAAAGATATGACTTACTGAGAGAAAGCATAGAACAGATGGTTATGAGTGGATTTGTATAGTCAGAGGCGAGAATGGTCATTGCGTGAAAATGTGTGTGCGAAAGGATTCTTCGTTTGACTTCGTAGACTTATTAATTTACTGAACTTTAGTAAAGAATAAAGAGAGTGTATTTTATTAGATATAAGCAGATTTGGTGATACCTTGATGAATCATTGAAGTTTTTAGTGTTATAAGGTTTTTCTATGTAATTAGTACAGAGACGTTACACTACCATAGTATTTTTAATACTTAAAAATTCTATAATTTCAGCTATTATGTGAGTTGATTTTTTTTATCTTTTTTCTAATAAAATACTATCTTTGACATATAGTACTTGTTTAAAAAATAGCCGGGTTGGTTTTATATGATTAAAATAGGGGGTTTGGGGGGGGGGGCGATAGCCACCCAACAAAAAAGTTTAAGTAGATAAGTTATGAATTCTACAAATATGTGAGATTTTATTATTTTATTGCGCATTATTGAACGTATAAAACTGTATTAAGTAGATTACTTACCTTTTTCAGTGATAAAATATTAGATTTGAGTAGAAATGATAGTTTAAGTAGAATGTGAGTGTTAAATAGAAATTATAGTTCTTGCGATAAGATGGTGAACATTACAACACGCGAATAGTAAACAAGGATTGTTCAGTGAGTCGATTCCCCTCTAGTGAACCGGATCAGTGAATCAAATGAACCGGTGGTACCCTAAACTCCGGATATACCGCGACATTAATTAAATGTTCGTAAGAAAGTAACTCAATCAATACACCGATGATTTGAAAAGCCTACCGATTTTTTAGTAAATGTTTTGCGTGGTATATTGTCTGATCTGTAAATAGTATATATTATATCCATATTTGATTTTTATATCCCTAACAGATGCTATATATCTATATCTATATCTATCTATCTATCTATCTATCTATCTATCTATCTATCTATCTATCTATCTATCTATCTATCTATCTATATATATATATATATATATATATATATATATATATATATATACACACACACACACACACACACACATATATACATTCTCAGACCAGTTGGTATTCTGAAGGAAATCGAGTTTCATACATTTGTAAAGAAGTATAACTATGAAGCCACCGGTGTCTTGAAAATCCCGCCGATTGTGGAATATTCAATGATCTATAAATATTGTATATAATAGATAAAGGCACACATATTGTATATACAGATCAGTGGGTATTTTGAAGGAAATTCGCGGTTCTTGGTTTCATACATTCAAAATCTTGTCTCGCCTAGCAGACTCCGAAATCAGATGGAAAGACATCATGGCCGTCTCTATAGAGCCGATGGAGTTACAACGTTCCGTGAAGAGCATGACAAGGAGATTGCAAACAGTAGACTTTGACGACCTGCGGCTGCCTATTGGTTGAAAATTCAGTAGCAGTGAATATGTATATAATGGGGAAGTGAGAGGGGAACAGGGATGCATTGCACTGACAGGAGATTTAAATGTGACGAATGTGGCCAAATGTAACTATTCGATGGTTCGATGCACATGTGATGTTGATTGCCGTTGCCGTACGCGTGTTATTCTCACTTTACTTATATCCTAACATTTATGTCGCAAGATGTCGTTTTCACGAGCAAGAATCCAACGGTTCAACGATGCTCCATGTAAGAATTGCGAATGTGCTTGTTTGTTTGAACTTGTGTCAATATTTTTGAAGGTATTTAAATGGGTTGTAAATCGGAGGTATCGCTTTTAGTCAGGAATTTGATATGTGGCAATTGTTTTTATTTGGTGTGTACTATATTTAGTATACGTACATTAGGTTATTCAGGAACTGATTCATTGTTTTGCTTCGTATTTAGCATGTTCTCCAGCTCCTGGAACTTATGGCCCGAAATTAGATACGAAGGTGAAAGGACCGACGAAGACAAAAGCCACAAGACTTTTGTCCGAGGGAGATCTCGGTTCTGTAATTCCTGTTCCGACAGTTGCAGCATTTCGCACAGTAAGTTTCATCAGCAGTCTTGTAAAATATTTTACTGTCTTGACGAATCAAATAGTGACTTAGGATCAGTATGTTACATTACTTACAGTCCTTTCAAATTTCTAGTCTTTGTTGCCTGTGAACCTAAAAAATATAAAGTTTATTTCTTGAAACAAATGAGATTTTTTTTATTATTACAATTTAGCATTCTAGTGTAAACATATTTGGGAAAAAATTGAACTGCAAACATAATACATATGTATGTATGATATAATATAACATAATAATGGATATATATGTACATATACACTGTTTCTGCATTAATTTTTGTAATGTCGATTTATTTCTAGAGAATTTTTGAGTGAACAGGATGCAATTTCATGGCAGGGAGAATTTCTTTTGCATAGTAGTAGACATTAGTTTGTCATTTCTTACAATAAGTTTAAATTGCCAGGTTATCAGATATCAATTTATCGAGAAATATTTCAGCCATTGCTGGTGCTCTATTTCTATTTAGTGCTTGGTTTTTCTTCCATAAATTTTAACTTTATTTCAGAAGATATTAATCTTATTACAGATCCGGGTACTGTATTCATTAAGGTGGAATGCTTCAATGAAGAATTGTTAAGATGTGCTAAGATATCTATTTTCATTTTTTTGCATGTCACTCCTTATTGTGAAATGCTCAAACTTTATTTTTGTTGAGTTTTTTAAAAATTTTGTTTTGGTTTAGTCATGGAAACCAGGTTTCTTTAGTGTGACTTTTTGAATAATTTTTGAGTTATCAGAAATTTTAAAAAAATTCATATTTACTTTGTTTTGTTAAAATAACACTTTCATTTAAAGCAGTAGAAATTAATGTAAGTTTAAAAAAAATATTAAATGCACACAAATGGCTGTTGCTATCTCCTGGCAAAGAATGTTGATTTTGAATATGTACTCTTGCATCACACTTAAGATATGGCGGTCCAGAAATTAGTTTCCTATTTCTATATTTTTATGTGTGGTGTTTTATATATACCATTAATTTTAATGATTATTTTAATTATTCATTGTTAAATATTTCTGTCAAATTGGTGGTACAATTGAAAAGTTAAGCTTGCCTAGTTAATTAAAAAATAGACGATTGGTACTGAAATCTGTATACCATGATAATTAATTTATTCATTTAAGATTATTTTTGTTTTACTCATAATTTTGTACTTTTGATTCAGAATATATATATTTTTTAGTAAAGCTAAAAAAAAAAAGATGGTATATGTATATGTGTATGTGTATATGTGTGTGTGTGGTGTGTATATACTATAGTATATATATATACTATATATTATAATATATAATATATATATAATATAATAATGTATATATTATAATATATATATAATATATATATATGTTGACACACACACACCACCACACACACACGTTTGATACAGTACATTAAACCACAATCAGTGTAGTGTAAATATTTAATCTGGTTTGATAAGCATAACACATGATTTTTGGCTTCTTTTGCTTGGTGCTGGAGGGTAATTACTTAACTACAGTTTGATAAATATGATTGATCCTTTGGTTTGCAATGCCTCGAATCCCTAGCATTTCTAGTTTTGTTAAAAGTATGTGATGGTCAATAATGTCAAAGGCTTTTGACAAATCTAAGAAAAGGACAGTGGTAATTTCCTTCTGATGTAGTGCAACAAGTATGTCATTTGAAAGGGAGAAGATAGCTGTGTTAGTGGATCCCTGAAGCTATGTTGTGCATTTGGGAGGACATTATTTGCACTGAGAAACTGTTAGCCTAACATTGAAAAGCCTTTCCAGAATTTTTGAAAATCCTGATAGCTGTGAGATAGGTCTGTAGTTCATTGGATCATAACTATTTCCCTTTTTAAACAATGGCTTAATTTGTGCCATTTTGAATATATCTGGGAATATGCCTGTTTTTAGAGAGTAATTGTAGATGTGAGAGAGTGGTTGCACTATTCATGAAGCACTGTTTGATAAAAAAATCTGGGATGTTGTCCTAGCCTGCTGAAAATGATTCTCCATTTGTACAATGATTGTTAAAATTTCTGTGTGGGTGGTTTCATATAAAAATATAGAATTTACGATTTTTGTAACATTACTGTTTGTTTGGGTTTTTCTTTAATGTTTACAGTGTGTTGAGAGATTAACTTCTTACCAAGATATGAAAAGTGTTCATTGAATTATCAGCTATTTCTGGTGGTTCTTGTAAAGTTTGGTTATTGTAGAGGAGATCTATATTTTTTCTGTTATTATTAGTTGGTGCTGAAGTCTTTTTAATTATCTCCCGCATAGTTTTTGTTTTGTTACGTACATTTGCAATGTACTTATCATTTGTCATAAACTTTGCTAGTTTGATTACTTTTTTAGGATCGAATTATATGATTTGTAGTATGAAATGAAGTTAAATTGGTTACATTTGTTATTTTTTTAGTTGGTACATGTTGCGTTTTCTTTCACATCACACTTTGGTGCCTATGGTAATCTGGCAACAAGTCAGAGATTCCCGGAATACAATGTTTTCCACATAAGACGCGACAAAATCGCATTGTTTGAGAATCTGGAACAGCGAGCAGTTTCATAGCAATCGTGAAGAGAAGCTAAGCAATTGGGCGCATTGAAAGTTGGTCGGTACGTTTGGTAGCAATTCTTGTAGTCTACGTGCACTAGCGATTCGAAACGCGGCCAGAAAGCAGTGTGCTCAAGCCCCGAGCGTGAATTTCGTCAGGAGAATGTTTATTTTCGTGCAGACGAAGGCAACCATGACATCGGCAAAGGTTCATCTTGTCAAATATCTGGGTGGGTGTTTTTTGTTTCTTTTTTCTTTTTTTTTCTTTCCTTTCCTTTTCTTTCTTCAGTTTTCTCGTCTGATGAGAACTTAGGAGGCGGTACACAAAACTTCTCCCTTTGTAGTTTCTGCAATTGCTTCCCAATCAGCTGAGCAATATTTCGCAGCCTCAACAATTTTAGTAGGTCTTCAAATAGATTTTCATTACTGGATTGTGTGTTGCAATTTATATTGAAGTCACCGCAAAGAATAATTTTATACTGTCTGCGTTTTTTACGTTTTGTTAGAATAATCCAGAATTTTTACAAAGATTTTCAAATTCCCAGTAGGGCTGCGATATGTGCATAAGATCCTAGTTTTTATTGTAGTTAAATCTGTGATGGATATTTAAGTCTCTCTCTTTTATAAGATGAGTGTTTGGTAGGGTACAAAACTAATAGTATCTTTAATAAAAATGCCACCATAAGCATGATATGTTATTAATATTTTGACATAAGTTGGCTAAAAAGAAGCATGGGGTGGATGAAGGACCTTTGGGCAGTTTGGGCTTGCAGCCAAAGTTTAACAACCTGTGACTTGTGCTAGGAATCATTATACCTATAATATATAAAGAATACCTAGATTTTCAACATTTAGCTTGAATTTTTTTATGAACGTCAAGATTGTTGAAACTTAGTTTGCTCTACGAACAGTTGTCACCATTGACTAACACGCAGCCCCACACCATTATATTTCCTCCTCCGTGCTTCACGGTTGCTTACATGCTTTCTCCTTTCAGCTCTTAATAGAGTCTCCTCCACACCCGAATTCTTTCATCGTATCCACAGATGTTAATTTTCGATTGTTCTACGAAGATTACTCTATTCCATCAATCTTCAACTTTTTCTGCGTGTATTTAGCAAATCCCTACTACCCTTTCCTTTGGTTCGCTTTACTTATAAATTGCGTCTGACAACGCGGCTATGGAAATTGGACCCTTAGTGCCCTTTCCAAGGTGTCGAGATTTACTTTCTTTCCAATGAATTTGGTAATTTTTGGTGCACCAATACGACGCTCCTTTCTTGTTCAGAGAATCTCTCCTCGATCAGAAAATATCTTCGGGCGTCCTCCGGGTTGCAGTTCAATCCCCTCTTCATTGAGGTACCATAATGTCACTCTCCGCTTTCTTGATTAATAACATTTTGCAAATGTTTCGGCATGATTTACCCATTGCGTGATGGTAAATAACAGCTGGCTGTGTTCTTTTCTCTGCGTCTCATTTAGTTTAAACATTGTTACCACAAATCTGATTCATCGACTGACAGGTGACCTTGAATATGCGGCAAGGGTTGAGAATTTCAACGTTCTTTTCTGAGATAAAAAGATCCTATCAAAAGATTGTTGAAGGGAAGTCTCGGCATCAGCGATTCATTCTTCTTTTAATCAAACAAGTACATATTTTTGAAAGTATTTAAAATGTTTGTATATAAGAACATATTTTTTCAAATTTCTGCGCTAACTAATGGTTTTGTGTTTTTCTGAGGAAAAGTAAGCAATTTTTGGTTAAATTAATAAATGACCGAATAGTTTTGTGTCACTGTATGTGTTATCTAATTGTTCTTTGGCCAGCCAGTGTTCTGTGAAGCACAATATTGAAATGTGGTTGAGTTTCTCCTCGAGTAATATTTCTATATCAGTGAGATTAATTTTCAGTGACTGTACATTTTGGTGAATGTGAAAATAGTTTTCATTTTTGTTTATTGTATGCTTTCTTGCTGATGTTTGCTTCTATAGGCTTACCCACAGGAGTGGTCTTTCTGTTACAGCGGAGTTGTATTTGTGGATGGGATGGGGAGTAGGAAGTGTGGAAGTAGATGAAGACGCTGGGGAAGATCAAAGGTTGAGGAGGAGGTTAGAAGAAGTGAAGTGGGCAGGAAAGGGGTGGGGTTAGAAGGAGGAACTGATGGGGATAAGAGAGGACTGGATGCTGGTGGATTGAGTAAGGGGGTTGTGGAAGGAGGGAAGGAAGGATGGGTGTGAGATGAGGGATGGCATGGGTTCCCAGTAGGTGCGGAATGAGAATGGCTTATAGTTTTTGTTTACGTATCTGGTTCATGTGGAGACCTCACCGACTGTTTTCTTGAGAGGTTGTCAAGATCAAGTGTGGTAGGTGTCACTCTCAAGTGCTCTCTTAGCTGATGATTTACAATCTTAATTACGTTGGTTATAGGAATGTTGTGCCAGGGACGGGGGCAGAGTCATCATTTCATTTGTGTTTGGCAGTATCTTGTATTATTGTTCAATGTTCTTCTGTATCAAAGTGTTGGCCAGAGTGAATGTCGTTCTGCCCACATATAATTACTGTGTCATGTTGCGTAAAAGATCAAGTATGAGTATTGAGGCTGCGAAATATTGCTTAGATAAATTGGGAGAGCTTTAGCAGAAACTGCAGCGAACATAGCTTTTTGCAGCGAAAGATCTAATCAGACGAGAGAGTTCTGGAAAAGAAACAATATATAATTGACAAAGAAAGTTACTTTGCCAGAAGAATCGATGAGTATTGAAGGGATTGTTGTGGTTACCTTTGTCCGGACGAAAATAAACGTTTTCACTTGTCGCGTCTTGGCGTTTGATGTCACGTAGACTGCAGAAAGGTGCTGGGAATTTGCCTGGCAGCGCCCCGAATCGAACTTTGAATGCGCCCAACACACTTCACCTAGCTTCTGTGCACGATGGCCACGAAAGTGTTCGCGGCTCCTCTGACAATGCGAGCTCGATGCGTCTAATGTGGAAAAAGTTGGATTCCGAGAAATCTGACAATGGGTAACTTTTTCGTCGCGGCCGCGCAGGAGATAACGCAATATATGGGCGACTTTTCGAACAGGAAGCAGTTGACTAACGATGTCAAAGAAATAATATGCGTCATTGCCAACAATATTGTTGACGACGCATATAATTATTTCATTAGAAATGCCAACAATAACGCACCACAACACCGATGTCAAAGAACTTTGTTAGAAAAAATGAGTGTTTGGTCAACTGGGAAGGAATACGCGCGGCCTTTTTTCCTAAGAGGGAAGTTTGAAATATATGATCGTTCCTTCTTAAATGTCTTCAAAGAACAGCGAAACTGAGCTGTTCGAAGCGTGGCGCCAAATTTAAATTAATTTGGCGGTCAATGTGCCAACAATGAGTGTTTAAGTTCTCAATGCATATGGCAGACTTAAAATACCTGCAATTCAGAACTTAACTGGAGTTTCTCTTGCAATGGAGGAAAGGTTCTTACCATGGCTGTCAGCTACAATCAATTTGTTTCGTGAGTGAGAGTGTCATTTGTTGATTCGTCTTGCCCTCTGACGTTTCTGTTGAGATTTTGAGGGAAGTGCCTCTTGTTCACTGGTTGTCATGGTAAGGTAGCTTTGATGGGAAGAGTTGGAAAGGAGACAAGATCAGAAAGGTTCGAGAACCTGTTGAATGTGGGGGTGCAGTGTGGTGCCTGAGAGGTTGGTGGGTGCCAAGGAATGTGTTTGTTTGTTTTTCCTAATTACGCGAATTCTATCCTGCTCTAACTGGAGTGGAATTCAAGAGGTCGGCTGCTCTGATCGGTAGATTTCCGTGCTTTTTCCGGCAAATACCACGCGAATGCTGGAGCAGTACCCTAACAAACGGGCCACGGACGGCTCGTGATCTGTCTTTCCTCTTCCCTGACCTATCCTCAACCATTACACACATACACACACACAAACATGCACTAAACTACCACACATGCCGGGAGACTGGTTGGGAGCTTAGTAAATTATTTTGTAAAGTTAGGTATTATGATTGTTCCTGCCATATTTATTTTTTCAACAGTTATTTATTTTTACAGCCCTGAAGAAAAACCTGATATGTCGGTCGAAAGCCTGCGACGCGGCGTCACTCGGACTGCCCAGATCGTGAAGCTGGCCGCGGAAGCCTACATCAAATTTTTAAAATTATTTGCTTCTCTGAAGTATAGCACAAAAGGATGCAGAGTAGCCAAGACATTAATTCACATCAGACACTGAATTACATCTTCAAGTAAGAAAGAATAATTTCCCAGCGTGAAAAAATTTCAAGTCACTAAAAGTTCAGGGTCACGCTCTCTGGTCAGTGTCCGGGCGTTCTGCCCCCTCAGGCGGGCGGTGTCGCGCCTCTGCCCGTCGTAGGTCCTAGCCTGAGTTCGGGCGCTCTGGCAGCCATTGGCCGTAGAATTCGCACTTGACGGCGATCGCCCAGCGTGCGGCCTCGCCCAAGGAACGGCTGTCGGGCGAGCAGGTGCGGCAATGCGCGAGCCTCTACTCCTCCGCGTCCATCTGAATGATCAGCCTTTCTCGGCCGCCGCGTCTGCCTCAATTCGAGCGCAGTGCCCGCAGTGGCCACCCTTGGTTCGCGAGGTCACGCGGTGTCATCGTCGATGGTTGGCGTCGCGGATTTCGGATGAACCTTGGTGGACGAGTCGCGACGCTCGCGTGTGTAATTTCCGCGCTGACTCGTGGCGTGCTCTGCCGCGCCTGGCAACCTACTTAGAGCCCGGCGACATGCAAACGCGCGCAGGTAGCAAAATATTGCCACTTTCATGGCTCTTAGCTTTCGGGTGCTCCTACGTTATTCGAAATAAAATTTAAGACAAACGTCGAAACATGACACGTGCGACAGTTCCATTACAATATGTATATGTATATATGTGTGTGTATATATATATATATACACACACACACACACACACACACACACAGGTCTTCATTTCTGACGGAACGGTGTTCCGGTACCTTGGGAATAATTATTAAATTGTATTATAAATATATAACTAATTCTATTAAATTAATAATTAATTTGGGGTACATTCTAGAACATTAAATTTTATAAATCAAGCAATTCAGGTTGAAGCATACTAATTGCATGTGTGCGGGGGGGGAGGGATTTAGAGGCACGATTTTGTGCGTGGGAGGGGGAGCCTGAATGTGTATTGGTTTGTCTTAAGTTTTCTTTCAGAAATGAAAGAGTCTGTACAGATTTCACTTTCAGGTGTGTTGGATAGTTACGACTGATAGTTCACATAGTAATTTAGTACAGTATCAATTCCCTCTTGTATTACTTCTCTTTTTATGATAATGAAATTTTATTTGTTGGGTAGAATTGTAAAATATTTATTAGATAATATGCTAATTTTACTTATTTCTTCTTACAGCCACAGGTGCATCGCAAACCAGTGAAGACTGTAGGTAAACCTCAAGGAAAGGAAAATATTTCTTCAATGGATTGTTTATTGAAAGTTAAAGATACAGGCCATGACTTGTCGGAATTGGAAAGTATAAAACAAAAGCTAAAGGAAACGGTTGATGAATTAAATAAATCAGAGAACTTGCGCGAGTTATTAAAAGCAGATATTTCTATGAAAATGCATCAAAATGTAGAACTGCAACATAAAAATGAAACATTAGCTGTGGAAAACGAGGCGTTACAATATAAATTCAGTCAACGTCAGAATTCTGTCACTAGGATGGTGGAACTTAACAGAGAGCTGACAAATAGATTTACTTCAATTCAAGAAAAGTTATCTGAAAAGGAAAAGCTGTGTGAAAAGTATCAAAGTCAAATACAAACTCTTCGTGCAGCAATGACAAATCTCTATTTACAAATGCAGAGAACAGAGAATACACCTCCAGATGCTATTGAGAAACTGAAGAAAGAAAATGATGCTCTTGAAACACAAATTTTGAAGTGAGTAAATTACCCGTTGTTTAAGTAGATTTTAAAGTGAGATTGGTATTTGATTTTTGCCAAAATTGTTAAGTATAAAAATATATTTGAATCTTGAATATTTACAACTGATTTCAGAGGACCATTTTTTCCCTTTACATGTAACTTCTATTTCATTTAATCTATTTAAATTGTTTTGTTATGCAAGACAGGTTTGGTGTTAGTCATTCATAAATCACTTGGATGTTCTTGTTTTTTTATATGCAATAGTTGGTGAACGTAGAATTTAGCACTTTAAATTGTTAAAAACCACATTTTGAAAACATGGCTATACCATTTTATAGCATTATGAAAATTAAGATTTAGCATTTTGTAGCATTTGTTGAGAAAATTATTAGAGGACATTCTGAGATTTAAAAAAATATTTTTATGCTTTTTAAATTTTTCCATTAAATTCCAGAAAAGAGAGAAACTATTTTAATATTTTGCCATTTGCAAACTTGAACAAACCTTTTAAAGAATTATTTTGAAATCCATTGAAGGATTCTATCTATCTTGTATAGAACTATAGGCCTTGTATAATACTACTGAAAGAAGAGAGATTGTTTTGCAATTTGTAAATACTAATTAAAACAATACATTCTTTTGAAAGGTCATGTATTTTGTTAAATGAAATTAATTTATATAAATACTTATTATCAATATGTTACGCAATCTGTGGAAAATTGACAGAGAGCATATTTCAATGTTGGCTTCCTTTAACCTATTTCTTCTGACAGGAATAATTAAACGCTATTGACTAAAAAATCATTCGACAGTCTTGGCATCTGTCAAATTATGTGTTTTGAAACATAGAGGTGTTGGTGTCAATGTGGCATCCCTTATTATAGAGAGGTAATACATGGAAAACCATAAAATGCAATTTAGTGATTATATTACAGATTCACAACCGTTTTGTACTTCGTAGGTGATTTTGCATGTTGCGATAGTTTGCATTTTATCACAGATAGAAAACCAGAAATACACTGCACCAATTGTGAAATGTTCAATTACTATTTTTTAATCATTTGGTAACATTTCACAATTTTAGCAATTTATAAAATCTACCATCTCTAATAATTGTCAGAAAAATATCAAAAATTGTTCGAGATATGTATGGAACAAATATAACTCTTATCAGCAATTTAATTGGATATAATTTTATTACGGATTTTTATTGATATCGTAGTCTTAAAGTTAATTAAACCTTCTATGACTACCTCGAATTTATATTTATTTTGTTTTACAAGTCCCTTAAGTTTCATTTTGATAATATTTCAACATTTGGGGAGGAGAGGGACTAGAAAGAGGTTTGACAATTCTATCTGTAGCTGTCATTGTTTTTAATATAACAAATTAAAAAATTATGAAAAGTTTGTTGTTTTTTTTTTATTCAGTTATGAACTGGAGATTGCCGAGTGGAAGAGAAAGTATCATGAAATGGAATCATTAATTGGGCCTTTCAAGGAACAGTTGGAAACCTATCGAGCTGAGTGCAAGATGCTGGAAGCAGAGAAAGGTGAAGTGCAGCAGAGTATGCGAGAACTGTCTCTCCAGTATGCTGCTAGTTTAGGTCACCAAAACCAGAAGCAGAAGATCCACTACATGGTGAAACTTAAAGAGCAAAATATGGAACTAAAAGAGGTTTGTTATGTTATTGGTGTTTTGAGTTTTAGTCCATTACTTTCATTGTATTTTTCGTATATCATTACAAAACTTTTTCATTGCAAGGAATTGTTCATAAAATGGTATTTTATGGCATAAGTAATTGCATCACACACACATCAAATCATGAAGTGGCAGAAGAAAGCACAGCCAACCACTATTTATTGCACAAATATCAAATATGCATGACCTCATACCAATGTCTGTGTTATCTCCTACAAAATTTATATTGAAACTTTTTTTTTCATAATTACATTTAATTCTTAATATTTTTGTTGCACTAAAAAGTATGCTCTTTCTTCATAATGTTGCTCTATTGGTATTGCACAAATTTGAAAACTCTCTCTGAAAGCCACTTGTTAAAACACTACTTGTGAAATAAACTTATCAGGGGTTTTCAAACTTTTTAGTCCATGGCATCCTTGACCTAAACGAAACTACCCAGGGGTACCCTGGTAACAATAAGTTTCAAGTATAAGTAATATTGGCCTACTAAAGATTCAACACAAATGTGTAAGTGATATAAACTATTTTCTTTCTCCATTTTATTTCGGCATTAAAATAATTTAGAACACATTTTATTCAACTTTTAATTTTATGATGAAATTCTTCCAAAAAATTCATGGCAAGGATGAGCTTTGCTTGTTCAACAACACTTGTTCAAATCGGGGTTCAGTATTTGAAATGTATGGGTAGAAAGATTAAATAACCCCAATGCGCACAAGGAATGTGCCTCAATCCTAAAGGAGCCACAGAAGCTTATTGACAAAGGACATGCCAGGTTCAATTAATCCACAGCTAATCAGTAAAATAAATCATATATATTACAAATAACATATGTATTAGTACAAAACTATTTTGTGGACATAAATGACACAAGGATTAAAGTAAATCAAATCTAAAGATCATTTAAGTTACCATATGGCCATGACAGACAGTTTGAAAATCGCTGCTTTGTCATAAACTTGTTGCATTATAAACTAGTTACTATTACTAGATTTTGTCAGTACATTTCTTTTCTTATTCTTTTAGACTGTTTATAACCTGAAGAAAACTATAGAAAAGTTGCACAAGGATGGCACTAATGCAGGAAGCAAATCTAGTGTAACATTCACTCCCATTGTCAACAAAGGAAAGGAGAACATACGTCGTGGTGTTAGTTCTGTTCACAAGAAGGTGCCAATCCAAAGTCCAGAAGAAGGTCAGAAGCCTACACGAAAATTGATCCCTTTTCAAAGTCCAAATCAACCAGCTTTCACGCTTTCTCCAATCCAAAACCGAGCAAACAGCCCAAATCCAAAGCGTTTTGATGAGCGTTCAACTCACTCAAATGTTATTTAAATACTACAATGAATTGTGTCAATCCAGTAAAATGTTTTAAAATATTTTTTTGTACATGAGAAGTCAACTATTGTATGAAATATGAATTTGAAGAAATGCATATTACTTCAGATATTGTTATTCAATTTTATTTGGAGATTTTTTTGGAAAGCACTTTTTTTTCTTCGTAGTTTTTAATTAGTTTCTCATTTTACAATTGAATTAATAAATGGGGTCTTGCAGAGCATTATTTTACTAAGAATGTAAGTAATAAAGACTAACATTTGTATTGCAAAGTGTTTTAAAAGTGTAACTTTTATTGTATGTATGATGAATGAATTGTAAATCAAAAATGACTTTCATTGTATTTTTAACAAAGACCCGGTTACCTTTTTTATGATTTAAAAAATCAGCATGTTACTATCATACTTATCCTATTATGTATTCACAAAATGAACAATTTACCTGTACGACCTTCTTGGAATGGATTTTGAAGAGAATGTTTCACTTTTTATTGGTGTTTTCATTTATATATTTATTGCTCTTGCTATATGTTGAATGACTAGAATTCTCCTTGTAGTGCTTGGCAATGTGTAAAACATATTTTTAAATGCTAACTTATTTGGGTCCAAAAATTGTAAGTTTTTGTCCTGTTGAGAATTAAAGTGATCTTATAGACCCCATTGTATGACTAATACTTCAAATGCCCTGATTTTTAAAGAGAAATTGCATGAAATGTTTGAATTGATGACCTTGAATTTTGAAGCGATTATTCTCTTCTCTGAGGACTGTGTGAATCGTGGCATCTATTCTTTATTTAAATCACTCCAGATAATGTTTAGTTTGTGGAATCCATTGCTCCATAATAGGGTAAAACCTGGAAAGTACAAAAAATGTAGGGATGAACAATTAAACAAAAGACATTTCTGTTACCGTTCTTTAAATGAGATTTTGAATTAATTTTATTTAGTCTATAGGGCTACTTGTGTGATAAATAAAAATCAAAGCGAGCTCTGAATTAGTGCTGTTTTCGTATTCATTCTCATTACTGTTCGAAGCTCAGTAATCATCAAAAGTAATCATAAACACAATTTTTGTTTTTATTGTATAAAATATTTTGTATGTTTGTATTTTCTGTGATTTACACAATAAAATTAAATTCTGTATGTTTTGAAGCCTCACAAAGCCATTATTCGTGCAGGTTTTTTAAGCCCTGGAGTAGCTATTCCCACTCCCTCAGAAGTTCCCACTCCCTCTACTTAGTTAAATTCAGAATAAATTATGGCAACAAGCATTGTTGCCAAAATCTGATGAACAGAAATCTTCACTCATGTGAAGTAAAAACTATTTTGAATGGATTTTATGTATCTTGTTGACAAAATAATCACTTCCCATTCTTGCATGTGGTGAAGTGAGGGCTCGCGAATAATACTTGCTAACGCATAATGTTTATATAAAACAATGGCTTTAAAGTAGAGCATTATTCACGAGGGAGAACAGTTGTGATCGAAGCGTGGCAGTGTGGGGGACATAATTCTCGCAAGAGAATACAGTTCAGTTAACCCTGTCATATGCATAAATTTATTACTTTCTGCCAATGGAGTTGAGAGAAAGTTATGTAATGCTCGAAGAAACTTCGAATTTAAGGCAGAAAAAATATTACAGGGCCCTGGTAACGAAAAAGTCGATAAATCCAGTTGCTAAATTACGAAGATCATTCTTCTAACACGTGATGTAGCCAGAATCCATATTTTGCGGATCCTTGAAAAAGAAAAATGGAATGACGACAAAACGTCTGCCTATCCATGAATAACTAGCGGCCAAACCGTTCAGCCGATTTTCTCTTAAATTGATTTTCCCAAATCGATCTGGCTGATGTCGTTGCCCCTTTAATTTGAAACCGATATTTTAATTTTGGGGGGTACTTTTACAGAAGCCCTTAGGACATTATCAAAATTTTCAAAAAAATGGCTCCATCGTGTTTGATTAAATTTTGTTAGCGTGAAGGACGTTTAAGAGAAAGGGCCTGTAAGACAATCGATTCGAGATTTCAACAGAAATACACGTTTTGGAGTCCTCTGATAACGAAAAAGTAGTTTTCTTTTCAAAACATCCGTCCGTCTGTGAACGCAACTAGCACTTAAGCCACACGTAGGATATTTTTCAAATTGAAACTCGTGTCGATCTGTCTCGAGTCGAATTTGAGATTTCGAAAAAAATTCTTAAAATGTGTGGGTACTTGACATGAAGTCCTCCGGACCGTTTCAAAATTTTCTCAAAACTGCTCCAATTTTTTCTTTAAATTTCTTGTAAGAAGAGTAAAATACACCTATAAAGGTTGCATTTGTCCTATTTTCAAGTTTGAATTTTCGAAAATTTTCTGGCATTGTCTTACAACCAGTGGCGGCTCGGGGATTAGGCAACAGGGAGGGCACACAATGTTAGGCATTTGAAAAATTGTTTTATTTGGATTGTTTAAGTCGCATAAGTAGTATTTACAATCGAATTATCTCCCCGGGAGATATGCTAAACACATGATCTATAAATTAAATGGAGTCTTCTGTTGTTACATTCTGTAAATCTATTACTAATTCTTCAAAATTAAATAAGTCTCGTTACAAAAGTCTTTATAATGAAAACATACAAAGACCATTCCATCTCTCTTCCGATATGTCATTTCTTAAAAGTGTCTATAATCTTTTCAAAGTGAAAACGCTCTCAGATTCTTTTATATAGCACATCCAGCTCAGATTTCAGTTTGCTAGCTCACGAACGGAGAGTACTGTGAAACGCGATCAACCTGTTGTCAATGTTCTTGATATTGTTGGAACGTTTTACAATCAAAGAGAGAACACAAGGCTAAATTTCCCCTAAAATTACGATGCCCATTTACCCCTTTGAAATTTCCGTACCAAAGAACGATTGTCATTTCTATCAGATTGTAATTTTTATTTTTATCAGGCCGAGCTGGCCTAATTCTCTTCATGCACAGCCTTGTGTATCATAATCACAATTACTGTTTTCAGGCATTTTACAGAATTGGAAACCGTTCTCAATCTCATTGCACAATACGAACTGGACGCAAAAATCGGAATACAGCATTCACATAGTTTGTCTACGGATCGGAAAGATGATGCCAATTGCGCACTACTGCACTGAATGCTTGTGATAGGGGAGATCAGTTAAATAGAACACCAGCAGATATCACTGTCCTGCACGTAAATCAAGCGAAAGGAATATTGTAAGTTTAAAAATTGATCAATAGATAGCGTCGGACAACAAGGTTGCTAACTCCCCTGTGAGGCTGGTGGGCGGCAGCCGTCATAAGACGCCATTTGCCGAATCCATGTTGCCATTTCAACACTCGTTGGCAGCGATTTCTATATCTGTAAGTTCCGTAACAACACTGCGTTTAGGACACAGAGGCGAGTGTCTGCAGCCAATGAAAATCGTTCTACGAAACAAGAGCGGGAGTTTGAAAGCTAAAGAAGTGTTAGATTACAAAACAACCCTACAGACACACAGAGGTTATTTTAGACAGCGCAATGGGAGAAATACTGATCTCAGTAGGGGGGCAGTGTCCCTAGCGCCTCCCTGCCGCAGCCGCCACTGCTTACAACTACAAATTTGAAGATAGAGATTTTAGATTCAAATACAATTTATTCTCCGTAGCGAGTTCTTTCATTAAGGTCTTTTACATTTTTTGAAAATGTAAATTTAATTTTGAGGGGTACTTTTTACAGAAGCCCTTAGGACATTCTCAAAATTTTTAAAAAAATGGCTCCATCGTTTTTTATTACATTTTGTTAGCGTGAAAGACGTTTAAGAAAACGGACCTTTAAGAAAATCGATTCGTTTTCAACAGGAATACACGTTTTGGGCGTAGTTTTCGAGGCTATTGTGCAATGTGTGTGTGCAATTTTTAAAAGAAAACTTAAAAAAGATTTTCTCGAAAATGGTTCTAAATTTTTCTTTCGACTTTTAGTAGGGATAGTACTAAATCTACTCTATAAGATGCCATATTGCTAAATTCTTTTGTTTTTTGAAAAATTACAAAAATGTATTTTTTTCTTGTCTCACGTTAATATTTATACTAGCGGCAATTTGTTCACATATTTATGAGTACATATGTGTGTTAATGTTAATTAAAGTGTTTTAAAAACTCAACTGTTTTCTGTGAAAACTAGCTCAAAATTCCGCATTTTGAGAAAAGCTCAAACGCCGTTTTCTCAAAAATTGCTCCAAATTTTGTCTCCAAACTTTTGGAATGGATAGTGCTAATTGCACTCTTTAATATGGCATAAGGTTCATTCCGGGGAATTTTTTTGTTTTTTCAAAAGTTACAAAATTTGAATTTCTTTGAAAGATCTCTCACGCCTTTAATATGCACATTTGCTGCAATGTGTAAACACTATTGCATTTGCGAGTTACTGTGCGCCAAATGAAGCTTTTCGAAAACTCATAAATTTCCTGTGAAAAAGAGCTTCAAATTTCGAAATTACGGTAGCACTTTAACGCCAGTGTTTTGAAATTTGCTCCAAATTTTTCAAAGAAAACTTCCATTTAGGATGATTTTTTACTGTTCTTTAATATTCCTAAAATAATATTTTCGTTCCACTATTAAGAAAACAAAAAATTAAGAAACTTTAAAAAAGTAACTTTGAGCGACGGTAGCGGGCAGCTGGCAAGAGTATGTGGCAAGTCCGAGTAGCTAAACGAGACAAAAGGTAAAGAAAAGGAATTCGGGAAATATTTCGCCAATCTCTAGCACTACTGTTTTTTTAATGTTATGTGTTAATCAAAAGCATCTTCAAATAATATCATGTTCAATTTTTAGAAAAGATGAGTATTGTGTGTGAAACACGCAATTTTTATTTTCTTTAAAACATTTTTTTCTTAAAAACGGCACAATTATTTACTTTCTCGCACTTTCTAACGTAAGAAGAGAAAGTATTGTAATCGTGCGCCGTAAAACGTCGAATTTTCAACACAAAAACTCTTACTGCGGGGCCTTGGCAAAAGAAAAAGTAGGATAAATCCAATTGCTGAATATGAAGGAAAAAATTCCTCGAACACGAGGTGTAGCCAGAATCCATGTTTACGTGTGTTCGTGTCCGTTAATTCGTGTCAGTTTTTACGTGTCCGTTTTTTTGTGTCCGTTTATTTGTGTCCGTTTTTTCGTGTCCGTTTTTTCGTGTCCGTTTTTTCGTGTTCGTTTTTTCGTGGTGGTTTTTCGTGTCCTCTTTTTCGTGTCCGTTTTTTCGTGTTCGTTTTTTCACGTTCGTTTTTTCGGGTTGGTTTTTTCGTGTTCGTTTTTTCATGTTCGTTTTCTCGTGTCTGTTTTTTCGTGTCCGTTTTTTTGGTGCTCAAAATTTCGTGTTCGTTTTTTGTGTTTGTTTCTTCGTGTTCGTATTTTCGTTTCCATTTTTCGTTTCCGTTTTTTCGTGTCCGTTTTTTCGTAATCGTTTCCTCGAAATGGTTTTTTCGTGTTCGTTTTTTGTATCCGATTTTTCGTGTTCGTTTCTTCGTGTTCGTATTTTCGTGTTCCATTTTTCGTATCCTTTTTGTCGTATTCGTTTTTTCGGGTTCGTTTTTTCGTGTTCGATTTTTCCTGTCCGCTTTTTCGTGTTCGTTTTATCGTGTCCATTTGCTCGTGTCCATTTCTTCGTGTTCGTTTTTTCATGTT